TTTAGTATTTTTATCGTATTCTCCGTCAAATTTTACATAAAAAACATGTTTTCAAAATATGGTACCTTTATTATTACTATTGTTAAAACATTAATTTGTATTGCGCGACACATAAAAAAACGGTTTTTTGTTAATAAAAAGAAAACTATAGCTCGGATAAAAAAAAGTCAAAAATAAAAGTTGTAGATAATAAAAAGATATACAATTTTTATTTTAACTATTTTTTGACATAACCTCACTTTTCAAATAAATTGAAATTTTTTAATTTATTTGAAAAGTGAGGTTATGTCAAAAAATAGTTAAAATAAAAATTGTATATCTTTTTATTATCTACAACTTTTATATTTGACTTTTTTTGATCCGAGCTATAGTTTTCTTTTTATTAACAAAAAACCGTTTTTTATGTGTCGCGCAATACAAATTAATGTTTTAACAATAGTAATAATAAAGGTACCATATTTTGAAAACATGTTTTTTATGTAAAATTTGACGGAGAATACGATAAAAATTCTAAAAACTTAATACGAGGTGGGGGCCATTGTTAAAAATTGATTTAAACAATGAAATTGTTAATAACAATATGAATTTGTTAATAATATTTATTAAAAATATTTTTTTATGAAAATTCAGTCCTTTAGCTTTAAAATGAAAAAAAGAAGAAGTTTGTAGCTCAAATAGAACCAGAGTTATAAATTTTTGAAAATGAGTCTCCAAGCCAAAAAACTCGTTATTCACAAATTTTCGATAGCTTGTATTATCGAAAATATGCGAGAGAAAAAAAATTCCTCGGACACGTATCTCTTATTTTTCGACATAGAATCCGTAAAAAAAGTTTCAGCCAAATCTGAGATGTGTCGGTCAAAAGGTGTTCGGTTTATAAAAGAATTACTCATATATACGTAAGAAAATAACTACTCACCACAGTACTGAAATTTTGACTGGAACTATACGTGCATTCACCACAACTTCGCCGCTTGCATTGTTTTCAAGATGACTGTCGTGCAAAGGGCGGGCTCTGTATATAATTTTTTACCAACACTTGAGTTAAAACGAGGACTTGACGTTTAAACTTCAATATTTCGCAGGAATTTTTAATTTTAACATTGGACTGACGGGTAAAAGTGAGTACAAAGATTATAATTTTTTAATAAATTCTATTATTCGAATCTATGATAAAATATGAAAAATACATTATTTAATGTTTTATAGTTTGTAGTGAAATTGAAAAAATTAAGATGAATGGAATTTATTTTAAAATAAAATCACTCAAATATTTGATTCAGGAGTTGTGACACGCCAAGGTACTGATGTTTTGAATATTTATTATGTTTTTCTACAAACGTGCTTTTGAAAAAATACATTAAAATTTGGTGGACAAGTTAAAAAAACCTGGATCTTTTGTAATATACTAAAATATTTACAAAACATATTAAAATACCTTCTCTATTGACTGATGACATCAAGTTGTCCAACTTTTGTAGAATCGCCCATATATATTAGGGTGGCCCAAAAAAAAAGAATATCTTTTTTTTTCTCGTCTCTTGTAAAAATATGTTAGTTTATCATGCTGTAAGAGCCCTGTCAAAATATCAGCTCGATTAAAAAATTTTTAGGGGTCGCTCAAGATTTTTTAAAATTTTCAAAATCGTCAAAAATTGAATTTTTGTTTTATTTTAATTTTTTTCTTGTCTCGATATTATTTTTTTGGTAGAAAAAAATAAAAATTTTGAAAATATCAAATCAATATTTTAATTTCTAAAGGTCGCTAAAAGTTCGTTGGTATTTATATTCAGAGGTCGCTCGAAATACTCTACTTTGAAAGTTAAAAAAATCTTGAGCGACCTTTAGAAATCAAAATATCCATTTGAAATTTTCAGAATCATTATTATTTTTAAATTAAAAAATAATATCGGAACGAGAAAAAAAAATAAAATAAAAAAAAATCCAATTTTTGACGATTTTGGAAATTTTTAAAAATCTTGAGCGACCCCTAAAAAATTTTTAATGGAGCTGATCTGATGACAAGGTTCTTAAAACATGACAAACCAACATATTTTCACAAGAGACAAGAGAAAAAAAATATTCTTATTTTTTTGGGCCACCCTAATATATATATATATATATATATATATATATATATATATATATTTATATATACATATAAATACATTAAACAATAGCGAATTTTATTAATTTTTTATAATTAAAAGATGTCGGTATGCTTCTGTCAGATTGAGTTTTAAGGAAGCAGCGGATTCAGTCATTTGGGAACCCTAGCCAGAACTAATTAGACGTGGCCATCAAGTCCTAATTACACAGGCTTCCGTTTAACGCTGTGTTAAAGGCAAACAAATAAAAACTCGCGAAATATCACTTAAAGTGGTAGTTACAGCGATTTCCTGGCGCATGTACGACTCCTTAAGTAAATTATGTAAACAGTAAATAAAAAATGTTTATAAATAAAAAATAAATAAAATTATTTTTTTGTCGATCTCTGGAATATTTGTTTCGGTCTCATTTTAATTGGACGTTAAAGCGTGAACCATAGAAAGTATAATAAAAAAATTTAAAATATTTTATCAAAAATGCGATAAATTAAGTATACTACTATAGTAGTTTTAAAAAGACTTCAATCTTAAGTCTTAAGTAATTTCTGAAATCAAAATGATTTAAACCTTAAATCAATTCTAAAATAGTGTTTAGATGATTTAAGTATCAAGTCCTTGAATTAAATTATTTTCTTTCCAGTAAAATCATTTTCCTTTTATGACTTAAATCCTTTAGTAAGTCATTAAGTAATCGTAATGTTAATAAAATGACTTCAATAAAAAATTATGACTTAAGTCAAAATAATTACCCTTAAGTCAAGAAAACGAGAATTTAATTTAAGTACCCATCTTGTAAATGTTAATAATATTGTTATGGTATTAATGATACTTATTAATTATATTATTATTCTATTGTAGATACAGATGATAATAAACCACTGTTAAGAATTTAAAACGGTTTTCATAACACATACAAACAAAATAAAAACCTAAAGCATCTTTTTTGAGTATACAGTGGACAATGACATATCAAAATAAAAACTTAAAACGCCTATTTTAGTATAGAGTAGACTTCTTTTTTATGTACATAAATAAGTAACTTCTAAACTGTAATGATTCAAACTCTGTTAAATTAGATAAAATTAATAATATTCCAGAAACCGATAAAAATAATTCCGAAACAATTTTTTATGTTATTTAACAAACTTTGTACCTATCCATAACCGTTTAGAGGTTTCCGAATACACGTCCATTAAAAAGTGGTCACTCTGTATAATGTATCAGATAATGAATGTATTTTATTGTCTTTTACTTTCTATTACCTACCAGGTTTTCAAAATTTTTGTCAAACTAGTAATGTTGCCTACACGTAGAAGAATTGATAAATGTGGAGAACGAAAACAATCTTTCGACGGGAGCAATAAAGTTTATTATTTTGCACAGCGGCACACCTAATCTCTAATCAGCCACATAAATAATAGCGATCCTCGTTTGTCTTTCGGGAGAAACAACGGGGTCGGGGATTCACATGACAAATACATCAGACTCCACTACGCACGCGACGAATGTTGGCAAACAAAATGACAAAATTATTAATCACCCCTTTTTCTTTAATGTAAGCTTTAAAAGGTTCCGAAAAGTTCGGTAGCGGTAGCGGTGGAAAAATAAAGGAGTTTCTGATCTGCTGCTGCGTGAACACCAGCAGCAGGCGGTTCAAAAGAAAATGCCGCTGTTAAACATTTATCAGAAATATATATATATATATATAGTGTTGGCCATATTTTTTGCAACCACTGTAAAAAAAATCTAACTCTAAAACGCCTTTATTATTCTTTATGAAATTTTGGATAAAAATACTTCAACTTATATCTCAGTTTACGTGTTCGAGGGTTTTTCGAGAAATTATTTTTATCCAAAATTTCATATAGAATAATAAAGGCGTTTTAGAGTTAGATTTTTTTACAGTGGTTGCAAAAATTATGGCCAACACTGTATATATGTATATATATATATATATATAATATAAAAAAAAACTTAAGTATATATATATTATATATATTCTTAAGTTTTTTTCTATTTCGGAAAAAATATTTAAGTCACAAATCATTTTAAAAATTAATTAAATGACTTAAATCGTTAAAATGATTAAATTAAAAAAACGATTTAAGTTTTCTGAGAGCTTAAAGCTCTAGAGCTGGAAGGTACTCTTGTAAAAATATGTTAGTTTATCATGCTGTAAGAGCCCTGTCAAAATATCAGCTCGATTAAAAAATTTTTAGGGGTCGCTCAAGATTTTTAAAAATTTCCAAAATCGTCAAAAATTGGATTTTTTTTTATTTTAATTTTTTTTCTCGTTCCGATATTATTTTTTAATTTAAAAATAATAATGATTCTGAAAATTTCAAATGGATATTTTGATTTCTAAAGGTCGCTCAAGATTTTTTTAACTTTCAAACTAGAGTATTTTGAATGTTTTCGAGCGACCTCTGAATATAAATACCAACGAACTTTTAGCGACCTTTAGAAATTAAAATATTGATTTGATATTTTCAAAATTTTTATTATTTTCTACCAAAAAAATAATATCGAGACAAGAAAAGAAATTAAAATAAAACAAAAACTCAATTTTTGACGATTTTGAAAATTTTAAAAAATCTTGAGCGACCCCTAAAAATTTTTTAATCGAGCTGATATTTTGACAGGGCTCTTACAGCATGATAAACTAACATATTTTTACAAGAGACGAGAAAAAAAAAGATATTCTTTTTTTTTGGGCCACCCTAATATATATATATATATATATATATATATAATGTTTTTGTTGATTTTTTAGTTCCCTAAATACTGTGGTGACCGTTCACATGTTTTATCAATACTTTTTTCAACAAAAAAATGCATTTTTAAATTTTAAAACTAATGATTTACTTAACTATAAAAAATAAAACAACTTACTTGATGTAATATGGCCTTCCGGAATCGTCCAAAGAACGCTCCCAGCCATAAGGCAGGGACTCGTCGCTGCATTTCCACGCTTCCGCTGGAGGTAGCCAACTTGCTGTTCGCGTCACGTGACTGCAATCAAAACAACCATCTTAAACATTTTATTTTTGCACATTCAAACGAGTGCAGAATCAAAGAAAGCTTCCTTATTTTGTGATTTATATAATGATACTTTAGATAAAAGCCTGGAAATACCACGGTATGTATCTATGTATCAATGGAGAAAAAAGTAAAACATGTAGGTTTAAAGTTAACATCTTGAAAGATAAATATATGATATAGATAATTATAAGAAAATAACAAAAAATATCCATTTGGTAATTTAAATTCTTATTACGAGATAACTTACAAAAAAGCCCTCTCTTGTAAAAAACTACAAGTAAATTATATACAGGCTGTTCAGAAAATGGCGCACTAACGCCATACCACGCGATAGGTTTTTTATAATTAAAATCATCATCATATATGAGGATAATAATATGGAGGATAATTAGAAAGGAATTTATCCAGCATACGACTATAGTCGTGTGCTGGATAAATTCCTCTTTAATTATCCTCCACTATAAAATTAAAGCAAAGAAGATAAAATTTAAGTTTAAAAGCCTAATCTGAAGTTAACATTGTTGACAAAGTTTAAACATGAGCATAAGAAGCGTATAGCTGGCCCCATCAGCATTGTCTTCTTCCATACCCAAAAATTGTACAGCTTCACCTGTGTTTGCTGTATGCGGATGTCCACCACAGTTTGCACAGTACCAATTTTTGGGGTTCGTAAGCTACATCCCTTCCCGGAATTGCACCGAGCCGGAGAGATAGAGGAGCGGCTCTCTTAAAATTAATTAGTCAAAAATGACCAATTGTCATAGCGAAAAAGCAGCCCATAATAATTATAGCCAACAGCAATTTGTATCTGGGACATTTAGCAGTTAATTTCTATGTAAAGTGCACTTTACATAGAAATTAACTGACCATGGTCTAATAAATCCTTACTTACTTTTATAACTTAAGACGGTATTTTTTGATTCAGCGGACAATACATAGGATTTAACTATAAAATGTCCTAGATACAAATTGATCGAAACTTGGAGGGTACACCTTTTGGTTTTTTGGGTGAGTATAACCCAAACCTAGGTACGACGCGAAATCCTCCTGAAACGGGACCTTCGGTAATACTATAAGTATTTTGAGGTCATACTTGCGGCTGGGTGTTGTTATTTCGCTGTGGGGGCCTAACGTTTATTTGTCGTATACTGCGTCTTGTTTTTCTGTAACCGTGTCCCTTTTTCTTCCGCGTTTCCAGTATTTGCTGTTTGGGGTTTATGTTTGCGGCTGAGGAGTTGTTATTTAGCTGTAGGGGCCTAGCTTTTACCAGTCTGTGACAAATACTGACTTCAAAAAAGATTTAACCATTTCAACATGTTGTTTTTTACTAGGCTGAAAAAAATAGACCATATACTCTGTGCGAAATCTGTTGAATTATCAACAAGACCAAAACTTGCCCTTTAAGGTGTGAGTTGCTTTTTCGTTTCTCAGTCCTCGTCGGGTTGATCAAAACGCTTCAAGGAAGATTCTACTATTCTACCAAATACTGACTTTAAAGAAGATTTAGCCATATTTAACAAGAACTTTATTATTTTGCTAACCTGAGAAAAATTAGAAACAGATATATTCTAATTAGTTTACCCCACTGTGCGAAGACCACAAATTGTCAACAGTAAAAAAATTGCCCTTGTTTTGCTGTGGGTGTGACTGAACCTTTACTTTATTTGCCTTCCTGTGATTTATTGCTCTTTGGGCGACTGTTTAGTTTAAGTACTTTAGCCTACTTCCCTGCAATGTTTTTTTCGATTAGAAATTCAAATAAAAAATATGTTTGCAAAATATTGTGAGGTTTTAACTATAGTTAAAACTTACCATACCATATATCTACAGTCCCCTTGGCGCTCAAGTCTTGATCTATTGTGTTTTGTTTTCTTCAATAGGCCTGCAAGCTTTTTTTTTCTGCACATGTTCGCACTTGACACTGCTTTGGAACAATATTGTCACTTGTTGAAATGCTTAAAATTGTACCCGAGCGATTTTTGTTTTCTGTATATTTATACTTTTGTTGTATACGGTTCGTTAGAAGAAAACGCTCTCTTGCACGACTGGTCTATTTGAAATCTCAGACGCCACTGAGTTTGTTTTGTTTTGTTTTTAAAATATAATGACAATGTCTTCAAATACTGCTAAAAATGATATGTTTTTGATCTATTTATTCAAAAGTTGCTTACTTGAGTTTTTCTTAAAACTTATGTCTACTGACTTAAACCCTTTTTGCAATCAGTGAATAAAATAAAAAAAACCCTCTTATCTTCTATAATTTAAACTTTATGATTGTCAACACATTACAAAGTAAATATTTATCGCCTAGGCTGTAAAAATAATTTAGACTAATGGGTTTTTTTCCACCTATTCTGTAAAAAAACCCATTTAAGTCAATTAAAAAATTCGACTACTACTATTTAACCCAGTTTCTACTTTTAATAACAATAATTATTATTATTATTGTATGCTTTATTTATCGTTTAAGATATAAAATTGTACCTTGAAGATAAACCATTGTATGGCATTCGGCTAAGCTACGCACAAAAATACTCACTTCTGAGCGAAAAGCTAGCTTTAAATTAAAATTGGCTTTAAATTCCTTTGCCATAGTTGTTTTGGTTCTTTAATTGTTCATATTTCGTTTTTACACTTTTATGTATATTTCTTGCGGTAGTTGAACAAAATATTGTGTGCGACTAATGGTAATATCAACATAACTTATCAAAACCTTAATTAAACATTCTAGGTAGTTGGCCGGGAGGTAAAATTCCCTTTGCGTCATTTTTGGCCTGGGTAACGACATCCCGAATGTCCGTTTTACTGCTTATTAATGGGATCCTAGAAGGTATGGAATTTTCTGTCATTACATACAAATGTTACAGGATTTTTGCGTGTGGGATGTTAGCAGCAAAATGTAAGGTTAAGATTATGTTGCGGTAAGAAAGCAGAAACAATGAAATTTCTTTAAATAGGTATATGATTTTAATATTTATATTTTTAAGTGTCAATAAAATATAGTTGGGATATTTTTATGCCAGTCATAATATTTTTCATTTTCACTTATGAACTAAAACAAAAAAAAATATTATTTTGTTTTTGTTTTGAGTGCGATTCACCAACTTCAAATACCGACAGACAGCTGTTTCGACCTATATTGGGTCTCATCAGTGTCGGGCAACTTGATGTAGTGGAACACACCCAAAATAAAACACTACAGTATATAAGCTTAGTTAGTCTTTTTTTTTAGGTGTGTTCCACTATACCAGGTTGCCCGACACTGATGAGATCCAATATAGGTCGAAACAGCTGTCTGTCGGTATTTAAAGTTGGTGGAACGCAAAAAGTCTGGCGAGGTGAAGGTTCAATTATTTCTTATGAATATTAACATTAGTGGGTCAAAGAAGTTTCTTACAGAAACTAAGAAAATTAAATGTTTAAATATTATTTTATTTATAGACATGAATTTAACTTCATTTTGATGTTTCTGTAGGAAAATATAAATTTATGATTTTAAATACTCCAATAAAAAAAGAAAAATGTCAATTAAAAAAAAACAAAGAGAATACACCCGGTGGATAGAATAAATATCACAAATGGTTTGAATACATAATATATTATAGCTCAAATAATTTCTGATTTGTCTAAACATTTTTTCTTAAAAGTTCGCAGACTTTTTATATATTAGGTTAAAACATTTAAATGCCATTGCATCAAGATATTTTTGATATATGCGACTGGGCTCTGTCTCCTTAGGAAGTAAACAAAAAAAAATGAGATTTTAAAATTTGGTTTAATTTTAAGCAACTTTTCTAAATTACTTTTTAAAGTATCTGTTACCAAAAAGCTACTATCTTGACAAAATAAATTAAAAATCATAGTTGGACGAGGATTTTCAAATTTTTATATGGGCCTAGATGGTGATTATAAACAACTTTTCCTAATAACTTTTGGTCATATCGATGGAGAAAAATAGTTTTTTTTAAATAATATATAATTATATTAATAATTATATTAATATAATTATTAATATAATTATATTATACCTATTAATTAATATATTACATTCTTGATTTCTCTAAATTAAAATTATGTCTTTAACCAGGTAGGAGTGGACCCAAAAAATTAATTTTTCAATTAATAATTTTTTATCTTAACCTATCTGGAAAAACACTGCATATAAGGACTATTTAAGTACTTATTATTGTGTTTTAACGGCTTTAAATACATAAAAGTATATTTTTTATTATTGATTTTATAATAATTACTATTATTTCTAATTTATATATTTTCGTGATCTATTGTTTTTAATTTTTTTTAAATGCTATTTTATAATCTTAACAAATTTTGGGTCGTATAATTTTTAACCGTTTAACTCTTGCTAATTATATTTCGTACCAATTGTCCTCTTTTTCGCACAAAAATGTTTAAAATAGAATTAAAAATTTATCTGTTTTTTACATAAAATGCGTGCGTAAAAGTCTAGTTCATTATGCATGGCATTCCTTTTATGATTAGTAAAACGACTTTGATAAGCATACACACGCTATGAATATTAATTAAAGCTCCACCAAAGGTTGATGAGTACCCCGAATGTACCTACACATACATAAAACTAAGTTTCTTTCGAATTCTAAAATTTAATTTAATTGCAAACACCAAAATGGCTATTTAAATAACGAACATATGTTACATATGAGTCATTCCACGTCAAACCGGACAAAAACAGGTGAAAAATGACCTTGAGTTCTCTGATTTTAATATAAATTTTTCTACAGGTTCTTTGGAACAAATGAATAGATAGAACTTTTTTTTTTATTTTTATCACCCCTAGTTTAGAAGTTACAAGGGGTTGAAATTTCGCAAAAAAGCCCAAAAATCGAAAACACGGCCTCCTTCAACTGCCTATATCTCCGGTTCTATTCAACCTACAGACTTCATCAAAAATGCATTTTGTAGCTCTTGGAAGACAATTTCATGACATATATATTTAATTCCAAGATAATCGACTATTGC